GATAAAAACAGCGTGGGTTTTCGTAGCATGGAAATCCAGAATTTAGTGGGTCATATAAGACGAAAACTTCAAGAATGACTCAAACGGCAAGGTGCTTCATCCACCGGGGAGCTTAAAAGAATCAATGAAGAAAACGTAACACTGTGTTGTACGTGGAGTGTAAATCACTAATGACGAAAGCACTTATCATAGTGGACTTCGTTAACCAAACAGCGCCATATTTCGAATCACATTTCATTTTTCTCCTATTAATTTTGCACTCAGTTTACATAAAAACTAGACCATATATGAGTTTTTAATTAATTTAATTTAATCGTTAGTAAAAAACTGTCCAACTGGACTCGACGAGCGAAATGAACACAGATTCCAAGGGGGAGAAGACTAGATGCCAACTTCATGAAGCTGAAACGAAATGATAGTTTTGTTTGTTTGTCCGAAAATGACAAACCTGTTTTAGAGCACAACGTTAACTGAATGCGGTAAACTGTTGATATTAGCGGAGTCTGTTTAGACTGATGACAGTTTTGCTGCATTGTGAATGAAAAACCAGATTTTCTCCGTAAATATTCAACTCGTGAACGTAGGAATTCCCATTCTGATAAGCCATTGAGCGTTTTACTTTTGATTTGCATGCGGAAACATTCTCATTAGAAAACATGGGTCAGGCCGTGTCAGTGAATCTCCACCTGAATTGTAAGCTGAGCGAATGTGTCATTAGAAACTTCTTTTTCACATACTTACAAGAAAACGTTATTGCGCAATTATGAATGATGGAAATCTGATCCAAAGTAAGTTGCACTTGTGTTTACTCAGTGAAACATGATCGATTGAGGAAAACAATTAGGAAAGCATTCTGAATAGCCTGGTCGGCTGACACAAATCGGGATTTTGAATTTAGTGGCATTTGAAAGGTGCAGTTTTACTGTAAACTGAAAAAATACACAACTCACATGCCGGAAAGAGCTTTGTTGTACGTTGTTAAACTTTCCAACCGAATTGTCTGCGGATTCTTTATTAAACCCAACTGAAAATAGACGATAACACGGGTCAGTGCACATGTAGAATGGATAGTTTTACAGTTCTCCTTACGCTATGATCGAATTATAATTAAAGTAATCTTAAACACTACTGGATTAGTCCTATTATTTTACCATCGTAGTCACTAATTTGACTATATGCTGACCAGTACGAACATTTGGGTGGCCCTGGTAGCATTGACAAACAGTATCCTATGGCGCTGCACAACTCCGAGAGACATAAAACACATGGATTAACAGCATCACCTACGCTGATTTTCACCTGTAGCATTACACTGATCTAAAAACTTCAAAGCCCTCAATCTTGGTGTCATTAAATTAGGCTGCTCCCCCTGCCTGATATCCGTTCAATTATCCTGAGATGAGCAGAAGAGGGCCTGCACTGTCGAACCATGGTTCCTATGCATCGTGTAACGAAACTTCTATAGTCAGAAATTTCTGATGAGCTGCAAGTTTGGCAACTGATTTTCTCAGACTCATTTGCGAATTTAGGAAGGCAGAGTGTGGTGTGTTTGTGACTGAATTTGAGGTGAAACTGGAATGCCTGCAGAAGATCCTTAGGATTGCCATATGTGTGAAGGCCAAACTAACTACTTCTGACAACAAGTAGTACTGGAGATTAGCCTGTGACCTATGATCCAGCGCAACGTATCGTACTGAAGCACGTTATGATTCAGCAGGGTCTGACTAAACACAGTCAATTCACCTAGCTCGGTTTCACAGACGGAAGCCATGAGAAAAAACACAGGTACGAGGTGGACCAGGTGTTCAGGTGATTCCATCCACAGAAGACTCAAGTGTTTGCACAGTGAATATCAGTTATACTAAGCCAGAGTTACATTATGTTTTTGAGAGACTGTGTGCTAATTCCAAATATATATATATATATAATTGCTATATGAATAGAAGAATTCCAAAACTCCGACTGAACTTGTCAGTTGGTTAATCGATAAAACTTGCACGCCACTGAACATCCCAACATTCCTGCTCAACCCGAGTTGTTCTCAATAACTTTACTGTCAAGGTGAAATTCCAGCCATGCTGTATTTAATAATGTACTGGTCGTCTAAGCTCTCCTACCTGATTAGTTAAACTTATGAAGCGCAGTTCTTCCAAACAACGGAGTGTAAGTCAGAACATGATAACATGAAGATGTATATCTTGCTTTTTTCAAAACAATTCTCTGATTTAAATGCGCACCATGCTCATGGACATGGCACCGCTTAACATCCTCCATAGAACCTGGAGGAGCAGATCGACCAAAAGATGCAGCAATCTGTAACAAATGGCCTAAAAGGGTCGGCAGATGGCATATGATGATACATTGAGCTCGCTGTATGAACCAACCTCGCCTGCTAGTTTACGATGAAGTGTTTCTATTTTAGATGCTGCTTACTATCAGCAGATTCACAAATTCTACCCAGTGGCAGTGAACACAGAGATTTCGTTTACCCTAAGTAAATTATGAACTAAGAAGTCACAATCTTTTTCAACCGGCCGTTTTCTGGTTTCCTGAAGCCGGTTTCTCGACGAACATATATTTATGTATGAGAACAAGGTTATCTGGGGAAATGCACATGAACTATGGCAGCCGCACCATGGATGGTACTTCAATCTCCCATGATTAGTCGTTGAGCAGTTCTATAACCATGCTCTCCGTGTGAAGAAATAAGACGCCCGGTTATGCTCCTTTCCTCCACATCGACTTTGGGGTTCACACCTTCACTCAAATGCGAGGGCGATTTCAGGTTTGCATGTATCGCCCTGTATAAAAGTCAGCTATACAGATGAACGGTAGAAGTGAATGGTCCGAGCAGATCAGGAGAACAGAATTCATTTATGCAAATGTGTCCTTACCATATGGGGAATTTCCACAATGAATCGGAAAACGGAGGCACCCTCACATTTGGTCTTTTAGTACCACCGCAACATAACTAACCTTCAACTTTGCACGTTTTCGCAGGCAATACTGGAACACCGTCCAACAGCTGATGTCCTTTAAGTCTGGAACAAAAGTTGTCCAAGGATAAAGTTTTAATAAGGTTGACTGAATGCTGAATTGCCGGTTAAGTACGGTACAAGGACGCACCCATGCTATTGGTCTTTTAGTACCACCGCAACATAACTAACCTTCAACTTTGCACGTTCTTCGCAGGCATACTGGAACACCGTCCAACAGCTGATGTCCTTTAAGTCTGGAACAAAAGTTGTCCAAGGATAAAGTTTTAATAAGGTTGACTGAATGCTGAATTGCCGGTTAAGTACGGTACAAGGACGCACCCATGCTATAACAGAATTTGACAGCCTTGCATGCTAGTCCACTGTACCGGAGCGGCTGTCGTAAGGGTAAAAGGAAGATCTCTCAGTGATGGAATTTTTGTTTCAGGAAGGCTCTACATCCTAACTAGTTGTACTTGATTACTTTGACGGCGCAGATCCTTACTTATCAAATAATACTGTGTTGAATCGGTCTCTTCAGGTTACTAACCAATAAAGTTTACGTTAGCTCGTAGAAACATGGTCAGCTTTGACTGGTTGCTAGTCTCTGTTCTGAGTTTGGCTATTGGGTTGGAAACATCGGGCCATAATAAGAGGAAACACCGTCAGTGCGTAGTTGGGTCATTCGTTTTTTTTCGCCAGCTAGTATTTTCTATTTCCTTAAGAGTATTTATTATCTCGAACTTTGCAGATTATTCAAAGGTTATTTTGAATGTAATTTGCTTTGCTTGTCTGCAGTCCATTTTGAATATTGGCCTGATTGATCTGCATTTTGACTGGTTCATTGATTCGGTAATTCGGCTTCTCAATTCAGATTAGTCCAGTTGATTTCTTGAATACTTTTTGTGAGTACTGGTTCCTTCAAGTGTTCTTTAAGTAACTGCATCCACACATACCTGCACCATCAATTTAAACTTTTGAAAATGAGATATCTTCTGAGTTACTGAGGGCATATCAACCTGTTAGAAGGTTAACGTATCATTATACCCCATCCAGAGTGCATCGTCTGCTTATAGGCAGCTGAGACATCTCCTATACATTCACAATCAAGGAGATAGAGCAGTGCAGACTAAGTGACACCATTTTGACGAGTTTTAGCTACACATGTTTATTTTACTCAATTTGTCGGCCTAGTCGTACTTGATGGAGCGAAGAAGTTTATTTACTAATTTAATTTACCCACTGCAACATGTACTCACCCACAGCTTCCAAAATGTCTACACTTCAGTACTAATCAACTCTTCTGCCACAAAATCATACATGGAGATCGTTCCTCAGTTGGTGGCTTAAAGAAACTTACAATCACGTGGAAACAGCTCACAGGAATCCGATAAGCTATCATGGTCCGGCAGCAATGCACAAGCTGTTTGTGCCGATGGTGAGGTTAAAGGGTATTAACAGAGTAAGATGGGAAAACCAGGAGCGTCACCAATCTCTTCCTATTGACACAATACATCCGACTGAGATGCAAGCCCTATACGAGGTGATGCAAAAAAGTCGCGAAAGTCGTTTAGACGCAAAGCTGCGAGGCACCGCAAAAGCTACTTGTGATTCCTGTTTGTCATTTAACCGCGGAACCACCAAAATGACTTCCGGCTGACTTGTACCTACCTGAGTTTTTTATGGCACCTTGAACACCGAAAACACCAAGGATGATAATTCTTTCCATCGACAACCAGGCCACCCTCAATGGACTGTCTGCAAATGAAACATTCGAGACCGCGATCCGGTCTTCTTGGTCCTGGCCTGCGATGCTGGGAGCAGAAAATGCACTTACTCAATCATCGTAAAAGCAGGACGAACAGAAATCGAACTAAAATCAATCCAAAGACACAAAAATATGCCTTTTGAAAATACTCGACGATGCACCATCTACAACTTAAATGGCCATTAAGTGATTTCAGCTTGTATGACCCGATGACTATTGACGAATTAATTAATATTATCTACTTATAATGATGCACTGAATCGACGCTTTGATGAGAATGAAGAGAACTTACAGAATTAGTCCGCTTATGGACCTTCACAGGTTCTTCTTGTTGTTTTGCTGCCTTCTGTTGGTACTCTAAATAAAAAGAAGGTTGAACCTGAAGTTGATGCAGAGTCTAAGGAGAGTATGGCCAAAAGGCATGAGACCTGGCGGAACAGGACTCTCTAGGTGATGACCACTGACACGTTGCACCTTGGCTTTTAAAAGTATTTCGACCGAATTAGGTAACGCATCAGTGGATGAGATCAACCTTTGAGCATTCAGAATATGCAATTTTTAGGGATAAGGAAGAATCGCTGGTTCTGTGGATACAGATATATTAGTTAATTTGAAGGAACATCCTCGTGTCCTCAAAATCCTGCTGTCTTACTCCGTTACTCTCAGACTGCCTGGCATTACAACTGCTTGTAGCACTGACACTAGCAACTTATTGCCTATATGTCTTTCTTTAGCCTTCTATACGACGAACCTTTGAGCAGCCCATCACCCCCTTTTGCGTTACCAGGTACACACGCAGATCCTACAGTGTAGGACAACACAAGTCGTCTATAGGCTTGGTAGTGGTGTGTCAACGGATCGCAGTATGCTCCCTCCCATCATTTGTAAATTAAGATTCTGAAAACCAGCACTTGAGCACGGTTGAAAACGGGCGAAAAGATGGGCACTGTTACCGTTAAAGGCCTGCTCGTTCCTTTTACCAAAGACGGAATGAACTTGATGAAAAACACAATGTCAGTGAAGGTAGTATGGTTTTAGTGAAATAATGTGCTTGGAGTAGGTCCTCCTGGATAGTCTGCATACTTCTCCCATTTATAACTAATTACTGCGGTCTAAGGGAATGCAGTCCTAACCTCGAGACTGACCGTATACTCAGCATGTTAGAAAACATAATCGTAAGAGACTCATGAACAAATTCTATTTACGATTGTTCAATGCGTCTGTGGGTGCTGGTAAACCAGTCATTGTGGTTTGGAGTTGGACATTTGTTTGTGCGGAATGTGGTCAGTCCTGGAGTAGCAACGGTGACCTGGAAAAAACTGAACCTGACCAGTACATGATTTCACTGGACCGGTTCGGCGGTTTTGTTCCTATCTGTTATACAGCACTTTTGAAATTATAACTGTGGCTAAACAGATAAAAACGGATTGTCGACAACTAGCGCCCTTAATTTCCAGACCGTGTTTCTCAACTAACCATGAGTCTATTTTTGATGATGAATGTCAGCTCGACGCATGTGGGTTAGATCCAGTCAGTCTCTGGTAAAGAGACTCGACTGAGTAGATAACCCTTTTCGATTCGCATACACTATGGAAATGAGTCTCCTTATTGTCTTGTTGTAGCAAGCAGGTAAGGCTATTCACCATTTAGTGCATACTAGTGAGGGAAAGCCAGTAATAAACGTTTCACCGGTTCGAAAACATGTCGGAGCTTAGAAGATTGTTGCTCAGGAGCTAAACGAAAAGGAGTTTATCAAAAACGGTCCAGTAAAAAAAGACACACCTTAGGTTCACAGAGCAACTGAAGACCACAATAACAAGGGAATAAAACTTTGAACGGCAACGACGACGTCTGCTGTTTGGAGATTCCTTGCAGAATTCGTGGTCAGATATTTTATTAAACACGAATTAACCAGTCTTTACATCAATATGCTTTGCTGATGAAAAACAGTCTGTCCCAATAGCAGGAGTGAAAGCAGCAAAAAATCATGTGGCTCGTGATGTAGGAAACACAAGTTTAATGGGGCACAAGGGAATATTCCGATTTTTGAGCACATTCTATTCCGCAAACTCTGCTAACAGAAATGCTACAAGTGTAGTACCGGGGCTAATTCAGCGTTCATTTTTGTAATCCAGGCTGATAATTACCGCAGACTTTTCTTATCCGGTGCAACACATTTTATTAGCAAGGAATTTGATAAAGCACAACAAACGAATTCGCTGCCCTTTTTTGTGATCAGCAAGAGTCAAGGTCAGTCAACCGTTGCATTGTTCAAGCGTTGTACTGTTTACCGCATTATCAAACAACCACAAACCTTAATAGGAAGAGAATAAGAACTGAAAGGATTTCTTGCTTCGTTCAATATGATTACTTTTTCCGAAATTTGGCTACTTCGGGGCAGTCAAATTTATAATTTAACTCTTCGTAACCCGCGGAACACCAAGCAAGTACAATGTGCATTGAGTGATGATAAGTGTCAATCCAGGAAGGTTATCTACCAGTCATTTCGTCCTCATCAGAACTCTCTAGTGATGAAACAGCTCAATTGATTCATTGCGCAAAATGGTGCATTAAAGCACTTCCTTGCTATGACTCGACTCATAAGATTCATGGGAGATCCTATAGATAAGTGTTCGTCTACACAAGAAATCACTGCCAACATTCGCCCAGCAAGTACACTTGGAGATACAATGTACTAGCAAAAGTAATTGGATTGTGCGGTGAACATTCATTTGTTGCTCGCCATAGGTTTACAGCGGGGATCATTTCATGGTCCAGTGCAAATAAATCCGAATTTGATGATAGCAAAATACATGCATTATGCTAACATAGCAGAGAACTTAAATCCTTCCAGTTCGCTGTGAAAATATTTAATCATTTCGGCCGTCTTATAAGGAACGGTTGGAACTGATCTAATGTTACCGAATGACATCAAGACCTCGATGATAACAGCTCTAAATATCATAATATACAAAGCAAACTTACACCACCGTATTGTGTTCATCTTGACCGTTTGTGATAAGTACTTTCCATCTCAGTAAGACGTACTTCTGTGGTATTTCGTAAGGCATTATCCAACTGATGATTCCATGTACTATCTAGTTCTAGACACTTCAATTGGATTACGGATTGTTGGTAACTTTGTGTGAATCAGCGTTTACTAAATTTGGGGACATTTGGTCTCTCTTCACAGGTTCCTGGTTTAACCAATCTCATTATTGTGATATAGCCGTTGCCTGTTACCTGCACAGGCGCTAGGCTCTCTTTAAAGACAGGTTTTGAAGAAATGACTTCGCGCGACCAAATCGCAACGCGAAGACGCGAAAAGTAAGGCAGTGCAAACAGAATCGCACGAATGATAAGTTGAAAATGTCTTTGAACCTACAGAACTAAAACTCTAGTAAACTCGGTAAAAGTGTTATTAGCAAACGCAACTCAGTGGTGTCAATCAGTCAAAATTACCCGTGCACACGACTGAATATATTATATTGGAGTGAGTGAGAATATGATGTTGTTAAGTTAATGCGCCAGTAACAGACTATAAAATTAGTCCGCGACCAGAACAACAATCTGAGTGTCAAGGTCATCAGCCCAATTTTACGATAGAGTCGGCTGTGAACCGAAGTGGAAATGAGCAGCTTATATCCTGATGATACGCTAATTCTGCTCCGATTGTGTGAACACAGAAAGCTACTCATCTGATGGGTTGTTAATATAGTTATCTTGATCGGGGTTATACTTTGATCGTGAGCAAGAGAACTACTAAGTCAATTACTATTATGGTTATATATTCGTAATCGATTAAAAAAGAATCTTGCTCCTAACGACCAGTGACCCACCTTTCTTAGCGTGCTCTGAACAGTATATCTTGCTACCACGGACCGCAAACCGTCCAGTTCTGAAATGAAGAGCAGCACATATGGTATTTTGCACAAAGGTGACAATTCGTTCTAATTAACTGTGGTGTGCAAAAAATGACATCTTATTACTACATTTTTTCACAAAGGCACACTAATCCTACCAGTAAAAAATACTATATTATAAAAATAGTCTGCATGCCTTTGACTCATCGACCAGTTACATGAAGGATCGCTGGAACAATGAAAACGCTTGATAAACTAAAGGCCAGGTATGTAAGTCCATCTCGATTTTCGCTCGCTGTCGACATGTGTGCACAAATTATCACAGTCCCCGATTTTCCGTCAACGTTTTTTTCTACTTGAACCAAATTGCACCCCGATTTTCCGTCAAACGTATGTTCTACTTGAAACCAAATTGCACGAAACCAGTCATCGACGTCGACTAAATTGTGTCCACCGTTTTCATTGAGGTCAAGCTGTTGTTACCATGATTTTTCATACTCATTTCGGAACTCGTGTGAACGTTTTTGAGATACAAACAGGCCCCGGTTCTTCTGTAGTAGTGCGATAGCGTCATATCCGCAGGAATCTACTTCCTGGAATGCTGATTTCGTGTGGCCTACATGGCCGATTTCACAAATGGTACGGGCTCCTGAACTATGTAACTTGCTGATATGCAACAAAAGGTTGCTGTAAGACAATTTATGTTGACATGACTCTGTATCATCTATAATCTCAGGGCGAATTGCTTCGAAGCTTCACAAGCATTGCCCAAAGACACTTAAACGACGCTTCGAGTTTCAAACAAATATTAGCGAAAATTTACCATAGAGCCGAGCTGCGAAATTCCATTCGAACCCGTTCCATTCGATGATAATGGGTTAATTGTTCAAAGCAGTGGTCGTTGAAATGGTTCACCAAGAATAAATGCTTTTTCCATGTAGTCACAACATTGTCATTCGTTAGTTAAAACTTGTAATTTCTACCCTTTAATACGGAAATAACATCTTTGAGAGACTGTACAACCTCCTCTTATCTTTGGGTCTCTTTTAGCTAGTTATTGTGCACACTAGCACATGTTTGAATGATCATGCTGGATAGCCCGGAAGATGTGCAAGTTTAATCGCGCACCTTGAATTATCATTTCAATGGCTTCATGTCTCCAGCACATTAGATCTCATCTTAATCGATTGGGGTTTGCAGGTGCAAAACTCAAAAGATAAAGCGGTCCGGAAGCAAAGAGATACGTCAGTGTGACTTAATGGCCCATATCCAATGGATTAATGTACTCTAGTTGTTAGGTTCTCTGGCGCTGATGGTAATGTCCAATCTAATAAGTTGGGCGCCCATATTATGAGAATGAAGGTACAATACAACGGCACACTTGTGATTTCGTTTCGAACTCCGATAGATCGTTTTAAAAAACGGTCTAACTCTTGGACACTTCCTAACTATCGGCTTCCCTATTCTCATTCTGTGCCGACATTGTACCCTATTCAAACTGAAGAAACCAAGTGCCGAGGAGCTTTGAACGCTTCAAGCACATGCCTCAAATTAACTTAGGTAAGAAGCACTACAGTTTATTCCTGAAGACAACTCAATGTCTGAAGTAATAGATCGCAAGCTTTACATCTTTCCCCTTCAAAACATCTCACGTAAATCTTAATAAAACCAACTATGGATTTGTGAGTTCATAAATTAAAATTTATGTATCGTAAGTTGCGATGAGACGAAGGTATGTGAGCAGGACTAGCCTAAATAGAATGCCGTTGAATGACAATTCCCACGGTTGCCAAGCAAAACATGGTCCGAAGTAAGCATAACTCACCCTGCGGTTCGATCGCACACTTCACAGTCCACACAATCGGGATGATAGTGCCTCCCATTTCGATAAATGCTTTCGTGAAGTTGCATTCCGCAAGAGGCGCAGTGGACTGCATTTATAAGTCGTGTTTGCTCTCGCTGTAAGTGAGGAGAACTAGTTGACGTACGATTTGGCTGAAAATTGGAAAATGTACCAAAGGGCGCGGATTTAAAATTTCTGTGAAAGAAAAAGATGATATTCGCATCCAATAATGACTATGTAAGTAGTCAATTTGTTCACATTAACACGGTTTTCATTGTTTCAAATAACAGGAACTTTTCTATGAAGTTATTGATGAGCGATCAACAATTGCAAATGGGCGTATAATGTTAATCGTAAATGAAGGCAGGCAGAGTGTTCCGAATTTCGTGATCGCAACATGATCACTGAAAACTACAGCTCTGTTAGAACCAATGAGCTGAAACAATTCGAAGAACACGTTCAGATGTGCTCAAAACCAGTAAAAACTTTAAGGTTTTCTTGGTCAATGTTTCTCGACCCATCCTTTTTTCTTGTAAGAAATAGTGTTGCTTGAAGTTCAAAAGTTTTCAGTTCACCTCCGTAGCTTAAATGTTAGTGAAAGCGCCGGGGAAACTGCTCAGCTAGAGAAGGATTCTTTTTTACACGCTCATTTTGTAGAAATACTTGAGGCACCTACTGAAGAGCGGGTCACATATTTACCTTTTGAAGCGCAAGGAAAAACCGTAGGTGCGCCACCAATGGTTTAGTACCCATCCTCTGAAGAAGAGAACAACTTGTGGCGGTTTGGGTGGGATTTCATCATAGCTCCACACACTCACTTTACACTCTTAAAATAAACTTAATCCAAGTTCCAAGAAGGGTGTTACCATGTGAGAATGCGGAGTACAGTGGTTGTGCTTTTCTGAAACCAAATCCTTTTGGTCTCACTTAGTCACAAACACGGTACACTTTGTCAGAGACAATAAAAAAGAATGTTGACTGTCTTAAAACTGCAAGTGAACTACCTAAAGTAACCGAAGGACGCAGATCAGCTTCAAACATTGATGATGAGATAATAAGCACAGATTTTCCGTTGAGTATCCCATCATGAGGGGCTAGAAAAGCACTCAAAAAGACAGAGGACTAACCAAAGCCGGTGTATGGTGATAAAATGATTCACCTCAACCCGAACGGCATTGGTGTCAAAGAGCGTTTTTTGTAGTCATGCCATACCTTATACCTGGACTGACACTGCGAGAGCCGACGACGATATAGTCGAACAAGCAACAAGAAAATGGTTCAAACTAGATGAAACAAACTTCATTTGTTTGTTGTTTGTTTGTAGTTGACTTGGACATGGCTAGTAGACAATACGGGAGAAAAACATGGGTACCAGCATAGAACCCTAACTTACCAACTCCGGTACTGAATCGGGTTTCTGGTCGGACTTCTCCTCTGAGGGCTTCCACTGTGCTTAAGACCAGATGAAATACAAAGTAGACCACATGTGACCACAGAAACCGAATGCCGTTGGAAGCAATTAGGTGAATATTAAACAACATTTAGAGCACTTACCAAGCAATTTCTTGAAATGCTTCACACAATAGAGATTTCCTTCTGTAATAGCGTATTTGGGAAGCCTGAAGTGAACAATGAGGGAAATGCACATAATTTTGCAATGACGCATATAATTTAAACGGATTGAGTGCAGAAGACTGGTGTCCTCTAAGTTTACTCTTAGATAGAATTTTATTCAAAGGCATCACACAAACTCGGAGCTCGATGGCGGCCTCTGCATTACATTCTAGCTGACTAGATACTCAAGCTGAAGGTATAAAGTTTATTGAGGATGTCGACCTATGATGCATAGTTCCTTCAATATCCCGTTACTTTATACACCCGTACTTCATTAGAAACACAGTCGGACGCAACAGTGCCAATGCACTCCCCGATTTCTGCTTCCTGCGTAATTCGATGTCATTAAAAGTACCTCAAATAATTACTGATATCTGTAACTGTTTCAGTCTGTTGTCCATTATCACTAATGATATCCTGATCTTGGAGTGGTGTCCTCGGTACAATAGATGACTCAGTAATTGCGTCCCGATATTTCAACCTCCCAATAGGAAACGAGATTTCAACTATTTTAACTAAATGCCTAACTAGCTGTTGGACCTTCCCTAGGTGTGACAGAATAATGTAAAAAGGGATTTTCCTGAATGAAACAATACGAATGGCTCTTGATAGGTTGACGAAATGTTCCTTTACATAATATAGCACTTCTTGAATTCAGACAAAATCACGTGACTGGCATTCTTTTTATTAAAAGCGCATTGGGTATTCTGAAGTGCAGAATGTCATTGAGGCAGTCCGTAAAGGCAGTACGTAAAGGGTGCCGACCAAGGTGTCCACACAAAAACTACTCTTGGTTCCTCTGGGTAATGATGACAGAAAATGGCTTTGCAAACTAATTTAGTTGATCGATATATTTCTTCGTAATCCATCCATAACAACTAAAATGAATTGACAACCTTAGACGTACTTTATTCGTCGTTTGCATTCAGTGCATCGGAAGCACTCTGCGTGATAATATTTATCCACAATGCAGACTCCTGCGTCAACAGCCGAGCGACATTGGGCACAGGGTGGCCCCGAGGAAGCTGACGTAGGCTGTTCAAGTTTATCTGGCAACAACGGAACTGAAATTGAAATTGGTCCCTCAGCTTCTTTCTCCTGGTGGTGCAACAAAGCAGATTGTAGTTGTTAAGAGATGTATTATGCGGAAAGATGCTCTGACACGTCTTCATACGCAAAATACAAAAAAAAATTAATAGTTATCGAGGGAAGAAAGCTGTGTGAAAACATATTCCTCTACTTGGAATGACGCGTAGTACACATAAAACAGTAAGCCGGTTTATCATGACAAACGTTATACTTGTTTGAAGCCCACCAAGGCGACATCATAAGGATATCACGAGGATATCAGCATACTCAAAACTGTGGGTAGAACTATCAGATATCCTTGGTCAATTTGTTGCTGCGTTTAATAGTCCTGGTTATCCTGTGTAACCCTGCTCCATTTCTGTTGCTTTGGCGAATGTTCTAGTTCCCTATCAGCAATATTAGCTATTCTGTAGTAGAGGACAAGTCGACCAAATTTCTAACCTCATCACAAGTTTACCATACTTTTCAAAATTTTCTTCCGTCAATCAGTTCAAGCGCAAGATGACAAGCCACAAGCTGCAGTGGTCCCACTTCACTTACATGTCTCAAGGACAAGGAAAACTATGAATCACTGGTGACCAATCTCTACCACGGAAAGCGCACTGGCAATCGACGCGCATACTTAACAGCTGACATTGCTTCGGAGGCAAGAGGCCCAAAAGGTCAACGCCTACTGTAACCATTATTGTCCGACAGGAATTTATAAGTTTCACTAGAAGGGAATTCGGCTTTTTGAAACACATTTGAAACATTAACTCAGAAGGCCCTCCGACTTCTTCTGTAGTTTCACAAAGCGAAGGTTTTCTGAGAGTCCCAGTCTGGACGATGTCAAAGTTAGCTAAAATACACCATGAGTAAGGATTGAAACAATGCAGGAAATATGTAACCGGGCGGGCTACACATTGCCTGTGAATTACTCTTGTGTGACTACCTATTTTCCTTTGACACACAATATATTTCAACAGCCTGCATGCACAGCCCCACCCACAATGGAAACTCAGTTTGACGTCACTTCAGTTTAGCAGCACAGTTCTTAAAAAACAAGGAGTTTATGGCAAGCTATGCGCCGACAATACATAGAGCCACTTCAGAATACCATTTATCTCTCCAAGTACTGGTGGAAAGATTGTTTTTGCTACATAAATCCGTCGATACTTCAAAGCCTGAACAACTCAGTGAAATATTCTAATATTCTAATGCGAAGTTGTCATAATGCAGGGATCATTTCCAAGTACTAAAATAGTGGATGCCTATTCTGGATGGCTTGAACCGACAAGACCGCTTTCTCACCACATTTCATGACATCACCCGACACTTTGATGCAAATTCATTAGGGATTTTATGTCATGTCACAAACTCAGCACGGCAAACAGTACTCTCCGGATGTCGAAAGATGTCACTGTCAATTAAATATCAGCTTTCGTATGAAAATACCTTCTTGGATTAAAAAATCTTAAGGCAACCATAATTCTTCATTTCGGTCATATCAAACTTGACAGATTTGGCACCTAAAACTCAACGGTCGACGTTTGCATAAGGTCACTTATTTTAGCGATCCTTTTGTTCGGGAAACATTAAATAGGGTAGTTAAAACAGTAAACTGTGCTCAAATCATTCTAAATAGTCGAAGACCAACACTATTGGGAAACTCACCAAAAGAAGCTGTTTGTCAACGGAATTTGCATTATTTTCTGCAAAAAGGATGTGGATATCTTCACAAGACAAACAGGGAAAATATCGGGCAGCAAAACATCAACTGAACGATGGCGTCTACTGACTACTGACAGGGTGGTTGTTGATGGAATATGCACCAAACAGCACAGTGATGCTCGCTACCCTTCATTGTCTACAAGCCAGCTGCAACTTTGGACTAACAGAGATAAACAACTGACTGGTTAACCACCAAGACGTTTAATAACTCAAATGCGTCAGAACCGTATCGGGACAGGCGGAACTGACATAAGGCTACGTCCAGGAACAGGTATAAACGAATGTCTGTCAAAACAATCCTTGAAGCAAAATCCTGGTGATACTACCTGATGTAGATAAGCTACTTGTTTCGCAACTTAAAGTAAAATATCTGCTGGTGATTTCATGCGGCGCCAACAGGTGATTCCATATCGTTATTTTCATGTACTGACAGCAGGCAAACACGTCTCTAGGCTGAAGACATCATTGAAGCTTCACCATGACACGATCACTTTTGGTTACACACCACCATTCGACTATCCGGCCAAGTGTTTTAGACGCCATCCAAACATACCTCTTCAAACGTATTGTATGGGGCTTAAATTATACACCCACACATGCGCATATGCAGTCTTTTCAATAAATGCTGGGGTCTTATAAAGAGCAGATGCTGGGAGCTCAGAAACTTCACGACGTCAAAGTTGTCGTGGACAACGGATCTGAGGAACTGTGCCGCGGATATGACCTTGAACTATTTTTTGACAAGAAACAAGCATGATCATGACGAGGAAATGGATCAGTCGTCCCATGGGTTCTGTACAACAGTATGTAAATTCTCTATGCAGTATAGGTATAGGCGTAGTAATTTGTTGAAAGGCAGTGCATACGAAATGGTATTGTGGTAGATGAAGTAAACGCATGCATCTCAAATGACGAAAACACGTTTGTTACTTTGCCCTGGTTCGGATGTTAAAGGATTTTCTCAGTGTATATCAAGACACCGAATTTTGTGGCAGTGGGCTGTGCGGTTGCAAAACTCAATCTTATGGGGGAAATCGGTATTGCACCATCAAAAAACAGGCAATCGTTCCAACGACATGCATTCAGTTGGTCTACTCACGGCTTCATGCGGTTGAAAGAAAAGCTATACCTTCACACTGACATGTTCGTCAATGTGATCTCACATGACTATTGGGGTGTTCATTCGAAGCCCAATGGAATCAACGGCCAGCTGAAACATTTGATGGACGCGGAAGTTTTAGCTGCGAAATTTGATAAATAATGTTGGGTAATAAGTAATCCACAGTGGTGAGTGCGTATTGGGTATCAACAGCGGTATACAAGGCTATACAAGGCTTCTCCTAATACAGACAATAACAAATAAAACCACTTACTAGAGTGAACCCTGAAGCGGAAAAAAGACGGACAGATGGTAACAGTGCTGACATTCACTAACCTACAGCAAGCATTCAGTCAATTTTTGATCCAATAAGAGGCCTATAAGTACTTGACACAAATCAAAGGACACCGTGTTTCGTTTCCATTAGAATGACAATCGATAAACAGTAATCTCCCCCGTTAGACTGATTCTTCCAGGAACGAATTCCTCCCACGAGAAGACCCAGAAATCAATCGCTGTTTGGATCGAATGAATTTGGACCAAATCGCAGGCCACCAACGAAGATTGTTGGTTTCCTCGACAATATTCAAAATGACAGCACTTAAATCTGTGGCCACCGAAACTACTGCCGTGATCACGAAGTAACCTAAGTGACTCAGCCGTAAGGGGTTAGCTTCAAACCGCTTGCAGATCGTTGTTCGGAGTGCTTGTTTCAATGCGGTAGACATGATTTCGAATGCAGAGTAAACCTTTGATTACGAAACGAGTAACTGATCTTGCTGTAAATTGATCTAATAAACCAGTGGGAAAAAGGTGCTTCTCCAAACGACTGATATTGCTGGCTACAACCATTCCAGCAGGCCTAGTGAGTTACGAGAGGTAGAACTGACTGAACGTGCCAACGCTGTCACGGCACAGCTAACGGAATATTCGTGTGCCTAGTGCCGCTGCTTTGGAAACCGTCAACCATTCGTCGCCTCATAGAGTATGGACTGAACGACACGTGACCCCAAAGCTGAGTAAGCGGATGCTCCAGGTGTCACTAATACGCCTTCTATACCCGACGATTTGATTCGAATTAGTTGAGGCGTGGTTATATCGTTCAGATGTAGCACACTTTCAGTGCCTAACTGCCATGCCACCCGAAGGTCGCACAAGGGCTGGGATATTGCCAGGTTGCCCAAGCCTAGACAGGGAAATCGAGAGGCAGAGGTCGGGACCTTCCGGTCGGTAAATTCGCGCTCTAACCACTTGAGCCATCTCACCCCAGGGGTAAATACCATGAAATAACAATCAGCCTGTCGTGACACGATGGCAAAAGATTGATGATTGGTCGACTTATCCACGCTGTCGGTGGTGTTCTGACCATCTGCAAAGTTCACGTGCTGATTGGACAGAATGCAAGCAACTAAAAAAATGTGAATAAAAACGGACGCTTGTAAGATAAGACGTCGTCAAAGGTGCCAGGCAACCGTACTTCACAGTCTCTCGCTGATTTCGGCATTTCCAACCAAACACATCTTCCAGGATGCAACCGTTAGACGCAGGAAATACCCAGTTCTCAGAAATTGGCCACCACAGACATATTCCTTCGTCAAACTGACTAGGTCGGTCAGATCCGCCATGGATGAGGTGAACGCTAATTTTGATATAAAATATTTAAAACCACTTTTGTCTTGCCCTACACCCAAATAGGAAAGATTTGTTATTGAGTTTTTAATCGCTTGAAGCTCATTTACATCTCACAAACATCCAACAGAAAGGCAGAAATGAAGGACTAGATACCGACAAACACGAACATTACCTGCTTATAATATACGGTTTACACTATGCAATACGGCCATGTATGAACATACATGCAGGCGCAAGAAGGAACGAGTACCATATGGAACGAAGTAAATAAGTGAACAGTTTTGTATGTTTTTCAGTCAGTATTTTTATGACATGGTCATCGCGTCCTTCGTCCCATCAACCACATCTCCCTATAAACTGAGATTGAAGAAAACTACACTGGAATTCTTCGTCCTTCTTGCTCCGAAAATACCCACAGATTTCCTCGCGACAGGTGACCAAAAATGGGAGTGATATTTCAACGAATGTTTCTTCAACCCATCATCAGGGTGGCCATCGAATTGCACGTGGAGTTATACACTTTTCATATCTCTGCGTCCTCTGTAAGGCTGAGACCAAAGAGGGCTTTTTTCCGGTCAGTCTTCGGAATCATTTTCAGTGCCTGTCTTTCCCTTGAGATGATCTTTCTTGCGCTTACTCGGCGTAATTGGTTTTAACAATAGTTCTTCTGATGTCTAGAAGTTAGACTATTTTGCTAATCGTGTAGTTTGAAAGTAAACACCAAAATAGTACCCTCTGAGTGAAACTTGTACCGTTCCATTTGTCTCTTCCTGCTGTTGGCTCAACTAAGCTATAATCCACTTTTCTGTTTATTGTGCATAGTATTCGATAGCTGTTTGTTTGCACACACACACACACACACACACACACACACACACACACACACACGAATCCACTCACACACTGCACACCCACTGGCACGCACACAAGCTATTAGCAAGCTCAGCCAGTCAGTTCACCTAGTTTGATGTTCACTCACCTCTGAACTCCACTGTCAATCGATGGCTGTTGACTATCACTTTGTCGACTGTCACTTGTTGTATGGAAGCCAGGCAACTTATTGCGTGGGTAAACTAGCAAATGGTGGTAACCAGGTTGCAGAAGTCAGATATAGGACATGGAAGTCGAACCTTTACTATCACACTGAATCTGAGCTGATGATTTTCCATCCCTCGTTATAGTTTGTATTTGAAATTGGTATTCAGCGGTGGTATGCTGATATTAGGTCCCCCACAAATTTCCTATTCCAAATAACAGCATCGTGCCTGTAACGGTTCCATGATAGACGGGGTCGTTCTCTCCACTGCCATAGAGACCTAACCTCCTCACCAAATTAGGTGAGCGGAGTTCCAGTCCAAGCTAGGCTGCATTGAACAAGAGGTCCTTCCCTTAACGCACCAGGCAGCTACGCTAGCACTGATGAAAACAAATTAAATGAACTCAATGTATATTCGTAATGCACTACCGAAAAATTCTTATCCCACGACCGGTTTCGCACTTATGAGTAGTGCATTACGAATATAGATGTATCGCGATATCTCGAATATCGTGGCGACTGAAACATGAGACGGCCTGGTGCAGCACATTCAGTTGGCTGGAAACAGCATAAACGAGAGATTCAGCTGGGTTTCATGTGAGTCTCTTGAAAAAACCGAATTTGTTTGCAAATGAGTGTATTTCGCGAACTCAACTTATTTTACGGAACGAGCTTGTTAGTAACATCGGGCGACATCTCAGATTGTGCTTTGGACATGCAAACGTTCCATAACTACCACTTCCAGTAAGTTCCCAAATGTATTATATAGTAGTAGTATCCTAGTGTAACGGTGATGCTACTGATCGGGAGGCACGCGAGTAGTATGTGTTGTTTGTAGAATTTCGCTTTGCGTCGATGGAAAAAGGGAATTTTGTTGCGGAATTCGTGGGGCCACTTTGTAACATTTGCTTGGATTTGACCGACGAATCTTTAAGAAAACTCGTTCGGGAGAATATCTGTGTCCAGTTTTTGGAACTAAGATGCAGATTAGAGTTTCGCTTCCCTGTTCAATGGTCTGTAACCGGTCAGTTGGCATTTCCGAATAAATAAATGCGCATCGAAGGCCTTCTTCTTTTCACTAGTAGTATCCCAGCCTCAAAGATAAGAATGCGGGATGTGATGGATAATTGAGTCCCCAGGCTTTACAGTAGGTAAGCAATGTTTGCTTTCATTCATAGCTGGTCTTGCCCAGTGTGCGGATTCCTATTACAATCTGAGGAAGGCCCATTTGACAG